CCCCCCCTTACACGGTGGTCGTCTTTATACTTTCCCCGTTTAATATTATCATAATTAAATGAAAACGATACGTAAAATTAAATCAGAGACGTATACAAAGTAGTATAAGCTATTTAATTAGTTACAATAATGTTTGTTTGGACTTATCCTGATATGTCGGAGCACGGACTTAGATAACCTAATCTAAGTCCGTGGTCGGAGTAATCCTTCTCCCCAAGTTTTGGTTGAGATACATCTAATTTATACTTCCTTAATTCTCAGATTTCGTTAGAGAAATTTAATCTAGATACATCGACAAAGGACGTATCTGCGTCCACAGGGACCCGAGAGTCTTAAAGTGTACCCTGAATGAAAATAGAAACTAATATAGTACTTTTCTATATTTTCCAAAAACAAAAATGTCGAAAACCGCATAAAAACCAGTCGTAATCGTAACTCGCGGTGAATGGGACCCTATCGGCTGTGACGTCACAAGTTCAACGCCTCTAGCAGTCACCATGGCAGGAATAAGCGAGTTAGAGAACAGCCATGGCCATACAGCGTTAGATCGCGGATTCATATTGTTTTTAGTTTTGAGGAATCAGATTGTGCTGAAGATTATGTAGATGGTATTCAGCCAAAAAAAAGTTGCAGGAATTTTCAGACAGTGAGTTTAATTGATATCAAACTGACGACTCTGAATAGGGCGGATTGGTCGAGTGGTTAACACTTCGGCCTTCCACGCAGGCGGCCGGGGTTCGATCCTCGAAGTACTGTATTATTGGAGTTGTGTGGGCAGGAGAAAAAACACTTTCTCTGATATTCCATGCGTATGAGGACTTCTGTATGCGATGCTAAATTATATCAAGGAATTAGACAATCAAAATCTGTGATTATAGTTATCTCAAAAATGTAATTGAATTATAAGATTCAGACTTTTTCTCTTCATATACATGTAATCAGAGACGTATATTACGTAATATACGTCTTCCTGTAATGTACACAAGTTATAATTTAACATATTGGTTAAATAATAAAAATCGTCTCGATCCACTCCCTTAGGTGTGACATCTGTGTACAGGTAAATAACACTAAACACACTGACAGCAGGAGGCCCAAGACGCACCAATATACCTGTGTCCAGGTATGACATCAAAGGGATGTTAGCAAGTGGGCTAGGGTGTACCTGAAGTTAGTATATACATATTTATTTATTTACGTCTCAACTCATTGCATACACACCTGTTAAACATATTTATCAACACTATTAATATTTAATTTACATCAGTAAATTATCACATAATTCATCTAAAATATAAACTTATAAATAAACCATATCTCTGCTAAAATATGCGTATTTTTTCATGGAATCATATAAAAATATTCATGCGATAAAGCAGTTAGAACTAAAATAATCAGTATGTAGATTGGTGTAGATTATGTGTCTTCCAATTTTCCATTTAACTGCAATGTCCTCAGTCTAGATAACGGGCAAATGTATAAGCAGAGACGTATATATTAGGTTTCTGGTATAAGGATCAATTTCAAGAAAAAGATAAATAAATAAAATGTGTAAGTACTGCCCAAAGAGTCACATTATATGCAAATCAAAGTCAGTACAACTGTATCACCGGACAGATGAAAGTTAGTAACAAAGCAAATAATGCTGGACCCTGTTATGCACATTATATATTACTTATCTTTGTGAGACTTGAACGGACCGGTTCTCCCTCTGCAAGATTTTATAACTGGGGGTAAAAATACTCGGGTTGCTGCTCAATTTGAGCATAAATTATTGTACCGGTGCATGTTTTTGTCGGTTGGAATCGTATATCTACATATTTTAAAGAAAGGGGTGGGGTGCGCCTACGCTAATTTGACTCAATATCTTTAACGAATTATGTAAAAACACGGATTCATTTAGATAGCATCCGCATGTGTGTTCGGACACCCGCATACTGCACATCATTTGCCTTCTCAGTAGGAACTCATTTCTTCATTAAAATGGGGAAAACACAATATATGTATGTAGTACTGTATGTATTACCTACATAAGTAAGTGACGACGGAATATATCATATAAGTAGCTAAAAAGCTCACAGATCGAACGCACGATCAAAGCTTCCCGATATAGGGCTGTTTTGACAGCGTTGAACTTGTGACGTCACAGATGTTGGCTTCCCATATCGAGGCGATCGCCGCTAAGCCAAAGGTGTGTTTTTCAGATAAATCACAATATCTCGGAAACGGAGTCGACTACGACGTTCGCACTTTCTTGCCCTTTGATTGTATTAAACGAAGTATTTTCACAGCTTGATATAGCAAAATGTTCAGGGTACATTTCTTGGGTGCGGTTGTGAGGAGGGGCGGCAATTATTTCGAGAAATAGTGTTAACCACTAAAACATTTAATTTATACTTCCTAAATTCTCAAATAAAGTTAATCTACATGACGCCTTATCACAAGAAGAAGA